ATCAGCCCCACTCATCACTAGTTGAGAGTCCAAGATAGCGTTTAATTATTATTGTAAGATTCACCGAAGTATTATAGTTAACCATATTGGTATACACCAATTGACAATGCTCAATTACTTATTGTTGTACATGAACATGTTGCATACTCAAACCACAGACAGTTGCAGAATGTCAATTAGAGATCTGAGGCAATGAATAATGTCATTCGTTCTAGCACTTCATCCTTTCATTTGCATTGATTCATTTCATTAATACAATGGATCAAGCAGTAATTACTCGCAATCGAAATGACTTATTCGCAGCTGAGACATTTCTGATAGCCCAACATTCATGAAACCTTTTGAAATCATTTGACCACCAGAACATGTGAAAAAGCATTAGAATAATTCAGATTTACTTGTCGCACATCGAGTTGTCAACTTCTCACTCATAAATTTTTTTCATATCAGTGCTACTTTGAAGAGTTCAGTGAGGTGTAGTCCAGAAAAACAAAACGATTCAGCTACTATCACTGACAATATTTCATGTGAATACAAGATTTTTTCCCATTTTGTGAGAAACCGTTCTGCAATGTTTTCATTTCTGAATAATAATAATACAAATGAATAATGAGCGCATGTTTGGGTTTCATGTCGATGACATGTATGAACGATATCCGATTACGAGTAGTTTTGCATTGCATATTATCGCATTATGGAGATGCGATCATCATTTGTTTATGCGTCAATGCGTTCAACACTCTTTTTTTTAGCAATACTTTCAGCACTTCAAAGGACATTAAAAACACAAATAAACATAGATTCGTACAGCGAATTGATGAGCTTATTTGATAATTCGATCTGAAGTGATCGCATGTCGATTGCAAATAGCACGCATTCACAAGAGTCAACAATCAATCAAATGAAAATTTTATTTCTTTGAGTTATGAAAATGAGGGGAAACACCTCGTTGAAAGCATTCATTTTTGATTTGAATGAAATGAAATGAGGAATGAAGTGAGATTTCTTTTTTCAGCAGAGAAGCAGTTACGAATTCAGGCGAAAATGCATTTGCAAATACAAATACGAAGATTATTTTCGAGTAGTAATATAGAAGGATTGAGTTAGTTATTAGATTGCGCTTGTGCCCAAGGGCATTTGTTCTCACATATATTAATTTAAAACACATTAACATGTACTGAAAGCTAGGGGCAATTCAATTCATCTGATGCCTTCGCTATAATATAGTGAATGCTGACTTAGGAAACTGATTCCGAATGTTTATCGATTTCTTGAATCAGTGTGAGAAAAACTTGCGTAAACAAATAAAACACTGCCAACTTTCGCACTCTGCATTTTCATTATTGAGGGATTTTCATTCTAATGAGATTTCCACGCACTTCTGATAGTGTCAAATCATTTCCGTACGAATGATACATTTGTTGAAAGTGAATTTGCTGCACTGAATTGACGAGTTAATGAAGTTTTGAAATCGAAAAAGAGATCGCGAAAAGTTACGTTATGAGCTTGAGTTCCACTGTTATGGATGAAAAATAGGTCGGTTCAGAAAGACGAGTTGCTTCCGTTGTTAGAACATGTTTGAAACGTGCAAAACTATCAATTTATGTCACCCATCAGTATTGGAGGTTTCAAAATTCAACTGAAACGTTTCAGGATACGAACTGAACTTGGTAGTGGTGCGTGGTGTCCCCTTCAGCAAATTAATATGGACACAGCTGAATGGATACAAATTGATTTCCCATCGGAGGTTATGATTTCGGCCGTGGAGACTCAGGGTCGTTTTGATGGGGGTCGAGGCATGGAATACCCACCCGGTTATATGCTTGAATACTGGAGAAATAGCCTCGGTAATTGGGCTCGGTACAAGGACTCTCAACATAATGAGGTGAGTTTTTCTCTGCCTGCTATTACAATAGCGTTCACACCAAGTGACCTCGACACAGCAATTTGTAGTGAATGAAAATCACCTCCTCAATGATCATCGTTTTTCAAACGCATAATCTTTATGAAGTGTGGAATAAAACTAAACAAGTAAAAGGATATGCATTAGAATGATTTCAAGAAATAAAAGTGTGATCTCAACTGTGGACTTAATTGTGAGCACATCGATTCCCTTACTGAAATAATGAAGCTTAAAAACTACTCTGGCTCACATGCACATCGTACTCTAAATCTGAGCACATCGTACTCTCATATTTCAGCTCTACAACGGAACTATTCTCAAAAGTATTCGCCACCTCATACCATAGTTCGTTCTCAAATTCTCCCGATTATTTTTATCCACGATTTTCAGTAGTCCCTCGAAACGTTTTTTGCAAGTAGTGAAAATAACAAGTGAACGTTAAGTTCAATCAAAAATTCTTATTCTAACGGGATCTGCTATACTTTGAATTCATTTTCAAATCCACTACACAGCCATGAGTAATTCCTCCATAAATTATACAATATAGTGAAATATGGAAGTAATATGATGAAAGAAATGCAATGAATGTGAATCTAGTGAATAGTAATGATTGCGATGCTATCTTCAAGAAGCGCTGACAGATTCCTTTTGGGGACGCAAATGGTATGTCAAATACGATATAATAGACAAATATGCAAGTATGTACTTGAAGAAATAAATGTATAGATGGTTCAGATATCTATCAATATGCAGTAGACACAATCATGCCCATAGATAACATCCACACATCCACTCTCAGCGTTCTGAACACTTCAGCGATAATGTGACAAATCATGAAAAGAGGGAGAACGCAACGATGCCATCATGCTAATCAGCAAGTACATATCTGAGGACATCAACTATGTGCCATTCATTGTCAATCTATTATAATAGGCTTACGAACGTTCTGATTATAATCTATTTGATAGCGCGGGATTGACAATTCTCATAGTAATTGAGTGTAATAGAACTCATGGAAATGAGGTTTTAAAAGTCTTAAATAATTAAAATGGTGACAAAACAATGTCATTTAAAGACGTGAATATTCCACTTCGATTAGATATTAGCCTCCTACTTAAGCATAGCCAAACTGAAATGATAAGCATCGTTCTCAGTCTCATAATTGGTCACGGAATAATTATGATAAACAGATTTATAATTTTTATTACTGAAAAATAATCATGCTGAGGCTATAATGGCTACTTCTTATTCACGTTATCGTTTTGGGACTAGAGCGTCACTTCAAAAATCATGTTCGATATTTCTACTTTGGAAAGTTTCACAGTTATCGATGACGGGTAATCGAGACAACAGAGTTGTTCAAAAACAACTTTTGGGTTGATCAGATAACTGTGCACATTAGTGTATGAAAGACAATCTTGTTGATGTGGTTGGTATTGTATCATCGATCTATGCAATACTCATCCGATTATTATACGTAAAAGTATACCTCTCAAGCATGATGATATATCAAATCTCAGATAGGTGTGTATTATGACCATCATCACAGTGTACTGTTGCGCAATCGAATAAGCCGTATAATTATGGTCATCAAAACAATACAATTCATATGTTGTTGGCTTGTTTATATCAAAAACATCTGTTTCCGTTATGGATTTTAGCTGCAGACTGCTTGCTTCATTGATTCGTTTTCATCCGCACATCTGCATTGCAACTTTCCAATTAAAGTGTTTCTGGATATTTGAATTAAACTCATTAGACTTTATATAAGCATAAATATACAGGTATTAGGTGTTATTCAGTCGGAATTGACGAGAGAACTGTCGGTAATGATAAATAATCTAATGCACAAGTTGGAAAGAAGTAACCGCATGAATATAATCAATTATTTCCTATCACGATCAGTTTTTTGACAGTTCCATCAAACATTCAATTAATTCTGCAGATAATATCGGCGAACACGGACACTCGATCAGCAGTGCTCCGTGTGCTCGACGGAGGTATTGTCGTACAAAAGTTACGCATTATTCCAGTCTCAGAAACCACTCGCACCGTCTGTATGCGATTCGAACTTTACGGATGTCCTTTCAAAGGTTCGGATCCTAAAAACATTACTTTTGTTTCCTGAAACTTGCTTAACTATTGAAGTAAATGAAACAAATGATGCATTTTAAAAGTTCAGATCTTTTCAGAAATGCCTTCAGTTGCTTAAATACTTCATAAATATCTTCGGAACATCTCTTCAGCATCGAAACCATTTCACATTTTTCAAAAGACGTGGTTTGTGCTATAGGAATAAGATAATGTTACAGATTCGCTGATATCATACTCGATGCCTCAAGGGAGTATTGCTGATGGTTTAAACATGAACGATGCATCGTACGATGGACACATGAATACATCAGCGCATCTGGTCGATGGTCTCGGGAAATTGTATGACGGGGTGATTGGAGATGACAATTTTGAGAAATACCCTCAAAAATGGGTCGGTTGGAGGAAGGATATCCAAGGTCAGCGTTCAACTTATCAGTGAAAGTGAAGCCAATTTTTATGCAAAATTGATTTGCTGTACTTCCACCAGTACTTTCCTCATTTCTCAGTAAATCGCACTCTTAAAATCTAGAAGTAATCATTACTCTGTGAGGTTTTTTACAAGAGAGTATGGTAATTTCTTGTCTCCAGACTTGATTATGCGTGATTGAAGTTATCAGATCTCCTGTTTAATGTATCTTCAGAAAATCACTTCAGCATACTGACGGCTTCCAACGATCCTTCATTGACGCATCTGATGCAAAATAAAATTTTTTTGCTTTTCAGGACCAAAAGTGACCATCGAGTTCATATTTTCGGAGCAACAAAACATATCGGCTATTTCTCTGCATACTTCCAACTTCTTGAAGCACAATGCACAGGTACTTCGATCTGTTCAGCGATAACGATTCACGGATATTCGCCTGTTGCACTGGTTCTCATTGATAGGGTGCAACTTCCCCCTATCCCCAAAGGGCGAAATTTAAGGGTTTCAGCCGGATTTGAGTGGAATTTTTTAAATCCTCCCTCATTTTCGCAATTATTTTCTCGAATTGTTTGTTTCTACAGAAGATTTTGATTCCATCGATCAATGGAGGAGGGTCGGGGATAAGGGAAACGGCTGGGAACAGTGGTCTGCTGTGAGGTGGAAGCGGGCAATAAAAGTGAAAATATGAGAGCCACTGACCTACAGACTCTCCACATCTCTTCAAATTCACATTCGCAGCTGAATGAACATTAACAAACCGTCTGAATTGCTCATTCAGAGTACCGAATCGTATTCTAATGTTCATAAATATTCAGGTATTTGAGCATGCACATATTTGGTTCTCACGTCGTGGTAACGACCTGTACTCACCGCGCACTGTTCACTTCAGCTATTTGCCCGACAACACCTTCGAGTCGGCTCGGTATGATGCCACTTCTCATGTTTTTCAGCGACTCGCAAACTGCATTCATACTTTCACGTTTCTCCTCATTTTCATCGGAATGCACACTAAGCATCAGTAAAAATGCTATTTCCGAATTGCTTTCTTCTCGTGGATTTCACTTTAAAATTAGGTAAAGAGCAAAAAACATGTTCAAATTCTTGTGAAAATCAAATTGCACTATCGAATATCTACGTTTAAGGCATTAATTGATTGAATTGAACGTCACTACTAAACATCAAAATGTATAAGCACATTGTCACTATGATCTCACTACTTCACATAGAGATAGAACGATTAGGTTTTAATATAAGTATTGTGACCTTACTGATGTCATCTGTATATTTTTAATTTTAGATGGGTACGAATTCCGATTAGCGATCGATTAGCGAAAAAACTTCGAATTGAATTAAAGATGACTGACGATGCTGAATGGCTTTTGCTCAGCGAAGTGAAATTTGAATCTGGTAAGCAAGATCACTATCGCAATTCTTGCGTTCCAGCCATGTGTTCATCCTTTGAGATGCTAGCTGATTGACATCCAAGCGAGCGAATCCAAGTGTTCTTTCGTGCAGTCAATTACATCTTGAATATTCCCCATTTCTTTATTTCCTTGAATAATTCGTAACATTTCACACACAGTGTTTTTATCACTTTCATTTCAAACTGAGAGAAATTCAGGAAATATTCCGTTCAATTTTGTATATGACGACAACGAGGAGTTAGAATTGGACCAATCACCAAACGGCAATTCACTCACATATTTTTCGGTTAGCGATTCAGTTGAAGAAAACAGTCGATGGTTTTCAATTGGTTCGTTTGCTTTGTTCTTTTTCCTTTAGTTCCCTCCAATTGATATTTTCAACGATCAAAACGAATGTTCCATTAAAATAAAATAAAGTAGTTCATATCTATTGAAAATAATTGAGAAGATTTTCGTATCCGATCTCGATTCATGAAGATCATTCACGATCGACTGATCATTAGTTTATCCTTACACGAAACCAATCGGAGGAAATAAAATTGTTTTTTTGTGAAAAGTTCTCAAGATTTCATTAATCGATCCTTTTGTTATCATTTGCTACAGAAAGCCTTCGAATTCTAAGAAATTGTAATTGTTTTTAGCAAATTTTGTTTGATTTCCGTTTCAATTTCGTCCATAGATGGTTTTTATGAGCCATTTCAGCCTTATTCGTGGTACTAGTGTTGCTGTTCGCTGTTGTCGTTCTCCTTTTGTATATTGTTTTCTGCTGTCGTCGTTCGGTGGCCGTCAAATCATCTTCACCTGTATTCGATAAGACAATCAATAAGGATGTGCAGTTGATGATCGTCGAAGGAAATACAATCAAGGTATCCCTATCAATCCTTTATCAGCATCAGTAATCTCAGATTTCATTCTCACCAATTGTTATGCCATTGTGATCATTTTAAAATAAATTTGAGAAATGTCCTCATAATTGTAGCGTATCTCACCGAGCACCTATCGAATGACCGCAGACAATATGGAGAATTCATTGTTGGAGAAACTACCACAAACCACTTATGACTCGGGAAGTGAATATGCTGATCCTGATTGTGCTAAGTAAGTTCCTTGCTTGCCGATGACATGAAAATGGTTCTCACATAAAATTGCCTACTTCATATCCATTTACTTCAAAAGGCAGTCAGTCAAATGACTCGTGAACACATAATGTTTTCATTTACTCTTCATGTGTTATTCCAGTAGTCCAACTGAATGTGGCAAGAGCTCAATGCCTCTGCTTAATGGTGCCAATACAACGTTTCATTACGCGAGCAGCAAGGTTCCAAATTTGTTCCCCATATACACCAGTAATTCATCGTCATCACATAGCAGCAACACCTCTCACAGGTTACACTTGATAAGCATTGAACAACTCATCTAGCAACAGCTAGCGATAAAACGAGCGATCTACCTCAAATATTCCTGGGGTACTGAAACAAACAGATAAATCAAAGTGACACATTGCAGGAATCCATTATCTTCATACTCCAGATATGCATCTTATTCGGTGAACAGCACACAGAGTTCAAACAGTCTCGTCGAAATCGATCCATGCGTATTACAGTTTCGTGAGCTACTTGGTGTTGGTGAATTTGGAGAGGTAAATTTTCTTACAGATAACACTTGAAATTTTACTTTCACATTTTCGACATAAACACGTTCAGTTCATTTTGATAACGGTCGTTTTCAAGAGTGTGAGTATTTTTACTAACGATAAGTGTAAGCTGATTACGTAAAATATCAGAATTATCAGAAAGATGAAATCTGAACTATTTGTGTTCATTGCAAACGATAAAAAATTGCAAGAAACGAAAGATTATATTGCTTTCAGCAGCATAAGCTAAACAAAAACTACCCGTATCGAATTCAATCAGATATCAAATGATCACCTTTAAGGTACACCTATGCCAGCTGGAACAACGTTTAGTGGCCGTGAAGAGACTGCGTCGTGGTGCGAGTGCACAAGCGGAATCAGATTTTCGTCACGAGATGCGGGTGATGAGTCGTTTGAGGCATCAGAACATCGTTGAGGTTGTTGGCGTTTGCACACGAAATGAACCGCTCAGTTGTATTGTTGAGCATATGCCCAATGGAGATCTTTGTCAATATTTACAGTCACAAAATACCCTCAGGTTTGTTCACGTATCTTATTTCAAATAGCAATTTTGCCGTGAATATCGCCTCAGAAGAACACGATTGCATGTTTCATTGAACCAATTTTCAAACTAAAAATTAAATATTCGCTGCTTACAACATTCAGTTTTCACTTTTTGTTGTTTTCAATATCTGAACTAAAATATCGTTGAGAAATACCGAAAAATGAGCGACATTCCGAATAATCGGTGACACAACCACATTTCAGCGTTGAAATGCTGCTATCAAGCTGTACACAGGTGGCTGCGGGAATGTCATATTTGGAATCACAACATTTTGTTCATCGTGACCTCGCGGCCAGAAACTGTCTGGTTGCTGACGATGGAACTATTAAAATTGGTGATTTTGGTATGGCGCGAAGTCTATACGATAGTGATTATTACAAAATTGAGGGCGCTTTCGTATTGCCAATTCGTTGGATGGCCTGGGAATGTCTACTATTGGTATGTTTTTCGAATCATTTGAATCTTTAATCCATTAGGGATGTTGTTTTGGTCGAATCTTGTCGTTATGGTGAGCCGTATCCTATTAGAGTAAGAGGCGATTATTGTCAAATGTTGATCATTTGTGTCCAATTTCTAAACTAATCGTTGGTCAACGTGACAAGAATTGTCTTGACCATGGATGAATATCATCAATGAAAATTTATCATTATAACCAGCACCGAACAATTTCAGGGTAAGTTCACGTCGAAAACAGACGTTTGGTCGTTTGGTGTAACAATGTGGGAGATTCTGAATGGCTGTCGATGTCAGCCGTTCTTTGAGCTGCGTGACGATCAAGTCATCGACAATATTCAGCACATTTACCATCATGGACAGCTTAAGGTCGACCATTTTTGTGTTCACAACTGAAGACCTGTTTATCATTATTTGCATATCACTGCCCCTCCCGTGAAACATTTGAAAACTTTCAGTTGCTCAATTCTTACAACACAATCTCTCGCACTCGAATGAGTATTTCGATTTGTGTGAATGCGAGAATTGCTTCTGCAGAACAGCATTGAAACTGATGCCTTGTCTGCGTTTCACCGCCACTTTTGTATATCCCCTAAATGACGTCTTCAAATACAATTCAACTTTCAGGTTTACTTGGACAAACCGCAATATTGTAGTATATCAGTGTATAATCAATTGTTACTGCCTTGTTGGGGACGTGATGATCATTTGCGACCGTCATTTCAAACACTCCATAGGCATTTACAGAATTTGTTGTGCTCACAGTACGATAGTGACATATGTCGAGATTTTGTCTGATTGACAAACAATTCGGTCGATTCACTGCAACACCTTCAAAAATAATAATTGAAAAGATCTCCGGGCAGAATTCTAAAATCGAAGTTATATTTTACTAAACAGCGAAATTCTCAAAAAGATTCTAAAATTTAATAGAAAGTTGATTGTTTTATCAATGAATGTAGTGGCGTACGCTTATCGGAACACCAAAAAAAGACGATACGAGAATCGTTGAGCACACTCATTGAAAGGACAAGTTTCATCAGTTTTCGAATGATTTCTCATAGGTCGTATGTGAAACGAATCTGTCACGCACTCGAACGTTCAGCCAGTGTCACTAGACTGTCAGTAATATTAGTTTATCGAAAAGAGCATATCAAGCAATTTGAAATGTTGTGATATTACGATTATAAATGTGTATGTTCCGTGTAAAATATTAAGTTCATTTTCCGAGTATCTCACGATGAAATATGATTATTGTCTGAATATTGTTTTGTTTTGTTTTCATTGATTGTTACGTTGTCGTTCATTTTGAATTCATCTCAGCATCATTTCAGTCAATTAACGTTGTACAGTCTCGTTCGAATTATTAAAAGAGTTTTTTTAAATAGAGAAAATCGCAAGTATATACACAATGGAACGTGCTTGCTTAAATGCTTTCGGAGGGCAATAATTTTTATGCTTTTGGTTGAGCTAAAAGTGTACAACATAGAGTGGCAAGGCAAAATCTGAAAATAATCTCGAGCATGAAATAAATGCGAAAACAAAAACAACAAATGAAGCATTAATCAGGTGATTCAAAACGAAGCAATAAAATTTTCCATCGTTTCGCACAATGAGGCGGCCTATTTCAAACCATAAATGAATTTTTCGAATTCCAAAACATAACGAATGATTTACAACTTGAGCACATTGAAGTATATGTTAAAAAGCATTCATCGTATGCCAACAAATTTGCAATCAACACGAACTAAATGAAGAGAATAACATTACAACTGTAAACCAGTAAAGCCGAAAGCATTGAATGGCACATCTAAAGAATTTATAACAAGCATTCATGAGCGACAAAAAAAGGTACTTCCTAACAAGTCACTGATTAATGATCAGATAATAAGTTAACATTTTCTATCAATGTTAATATCACCGTTCGAATAGCTCAACAAGTGGAATGTTTTAGAGCTTTACATAACAGTGTACTTCGTCGTATTGCATAAAAAGGTACTCCGTATCATCGACTATTCAACACAGATAAATTACTCAAATTTGTCGTACAAGAGAAAGGTTTAGCAAAAACTCAAATATTTGTAATATCTATTTGTAGAAGATTAGCTTTTGTGGAGCTTGAGTCGCCGATAAGCTTCATGTAAACGAGCCGGCGTGAATCCATGCGCACATATCAAATCGTTAAACGACATTTCAACTGGACTATCGATCCCCCAAAACAGCATTCTGGAGTTGTGTTGTGGCGTAATTCGCATAAGATGAGCGACTATACCCGCGTAGATATCATCAAAATTGAAGAGGCGTATATGCTGAATGGCATAATAGAACTGTCGAATTGTCCTTCGTGATAACAGCACTGCGCCGGCCGTAATATATGGAGGAAAACGATCATATGGATAGGCAGCAATCGATAACTGAAATTTTAAAACATCGAAATTTATTCTAGCAGTCATAAACTGATAAGTACTGCAGTCACATATTACTTCACAAACAAAACATAACAATTTACTCGTTTTAGCAGCGGAGACATGAAATTTAGCGATAGAAGGAAAGCAAAATCCTTTCGGAAAACAAATTGCGGCCTTATGAAATCAGAAAATGTGAAGAAACTGGAATGTGCTGAATATGTTTTGCAGATAACGAAATGATACGAAATTAACATCACAAAACATGAGCAAAATTCATGTTACCATCAACAAACCCAATTAAATTCGCTCATTTCATAAAGATTAGACACAATAAAATACAGAAAATTCTTCATAATGAATATCTTCGAAAGCACCAGCTTCTAATCGAAAGATTAACCGCGTGTTTGAAGAAACGCAATCGAAAAGGTCTCGTATCGAATCGCCATCCCATATACAAATGATCATTCGATGAATGCCTTCGGATTTCTATGATTAAATTTTCTATCGATAAAAAATAATCGTCATCAATCAACACAGCGAATGGAACAATGCTCTGCGCGTGTGAACAATAAGTGAACGCCAACTGCACTGCGGTCAGAAACTGAAAAAAAATCGAAAAAAAAACATTGCACTGCAAAATTAGACTGAACATTGTTAGCACAATTCGATTAACTGAACTCAACAGTTGTTGTGGTAGAGCATCCGAAATATTTTCACTAGAGAGCAATTAATTTGTGACGTTTGCAATAATATTTCTAATAATTTATAATAACTTTTCAGATACAATTCAATCATGTTTAATAAATTCAATAATGCTCATAACATCATAATTCATATATGCTGACTTTTGATTTTAAAAATATATAGATGTGATTAATTATATTTTGATGCATTTTTAAAATAGACTGTTGAGTGTGGAAGTATCGCTTCCGATTCGATCGAATGACTCTTTCGGAAGATTCTATAATTCGAAATTTCAACAGCCCTGCGAAAATTCCAAAATCACGGAATTGCCAAAGTCTCAGCTACTTTCATCCTTTTAGACAATAACGTGGATGCTGGAGAAGAGATATCATACAAACGCATGGTATTCTATAGATTACAATTTGATTTAAGAAAGAATCAGCGATCACATGCTGAACGATGAATGGTCTTGCCTTGAGTGTATTATTACGATACGCATCCAGAAAATCGCCAATCAGTAAATCGCCGTAGTAATTCGCTTCTTTTGATAGCACATCACCCATTTTCCGTTGGTATTCTGAATCCAACATAGCTACCAAGAAGACCGTTCGAATACGATAACCCATTGTCTCATTAATCGCACCCCACGTTGAACGAATCGCGTTACGGTGCTGAAATGTCGATGAGACGGCAGTGAGGATAAGTGATAATATTCATTCGAGTTCAGCATTCGTATAATTTTGATGGTGAGTGTAAAATATTACATTTCAAGGTGACACTTATGCAAATGAACTTATTTTGCACAAGTTTTTGAGTGGATATCCTGAAATGACACTTTAAAATTCGTTAAAATGATGGAAGGGTCAGGTCAGAAGGAACGAATGAATATCGAAATAACAATCGACTAACGTCAAGATTTTGTGCACTAGATTTGACAATAATCAGGATAAAGTTTTTTGATTGTGCTAATTCTTTGCTGTTGCCTGAACACTTCGGCAAAGTTTTCGGTTGAATATATGCCCAGTCATTCTCGTATAAACGGGTTGCTTGCAAGCCAGCCTCCTCGAGAGCCACCTACAAAAAACCGAAGAAGGTCGCAAAACGTAATCATATATTTGAACTGTGGAAGTTACAGCAGATCCCGATAAAGCACCTCAGTTGGTGGTTGCGTTTAAGTGCAACAGTGAACGGTAGGTAGGTACCTGATAACGGACGTTAACGAATGGTGGCCATTTGAAATGTGCGAACGGTCTCTCTCGCAAGTGATCAAGCATTCCAATATACCACAGCACAACCACAGTGGATATCAGCAACGTGATGAACGCTTTAATATAGCGATTGTACCGTCGCCACGCACGTGTTCCAAACAGCATTCCGCTCAGCGACGACTCATCCTTCATAACAAAGACTAATTAACCTCATTCTGACAGCGAAACAATGAAATTTCTCTGTTCCGTTCCAAGGAACAGAATAGAACAGTTCCAAAAAAGGGACACGCAGAATGGAACAGAACAGCTGATGAGCGGAACAGAATAGAACAAAATGGTTTATGAAATAGGAGTGTGGAGAACAGAACGGAATAGAATAGCTCTAAGAGCGCAACAGAATAGAACAAGGCAGATATTGGCTGCTCTTTCAACTGTTCTACGTGAAGCACTTCATTATATAGTATCACTCATTCGATTGAATGTTCAGGCTACTATATCCTATGTATCATAGTAAGTTACATCTCCATTCGATTAAAATAGAAACCAAATCATACGATAATGTGCTTCACATTCAGAACTGAAAGGACAACCTTTACTCGTCACAACGAGTTTGCATCCAAAGCTTGACGGTAGCGGTGCCCCTGTTCTTCAAAGATACTAGTTACAGCAGCCCGAAACTCTCTGTTTTTTGCCAGTCGTCACCGCCAAAAGCTGTCGACTCCGTGCGTGGACAATCTCCGTTTTGCATTATTTCCAACTGTGATTGTTACAGTTTTATTTTCCTGATTGAGGGGACAGGAATAGAACAATATGAGTCGCAGAACAGAATAAGATAGAATAGAAAGGGTCTGAAGAAAGAACAGAACCGTAGAAGGACGGAACGGAATAGAACAGAATTGTTACCAAAAAAGGGACGGATAGAATGAAATAAAACAGAATAGCAGAAGAGCAGAATAAAATACAATAGATGATTTCGTGGAAACTGTGAAACAGAAACATTTCTGGTTTATAACGAATTTGATTTCCATTTTTCAATAGAATAACTTTTGAGGTAGATTTAAAGATCAAAACTATCATATCGCTTTGAAGCTTGAAAGGATTTGTTGACAATAAGAAACAACTCTGATTCATTTCATTTTTCGCATTGGCTGTTATTGCTACACAACTAAATTAGATGGATAGGTTAAATAGACAGATAGGTTTATTGCCGAGTAAAAAAGAAAACTACACACTTATTTACGGACATGCGAAATGTAATGTCCAACATACATACTTCATTAGCCGTCACATTCATTTGAATCGTCAGTTAAATGAGCAATAGTATGGACTGAATTTTCACGCGGTCTAAATTGTTACATTAGTTTTATGCAGTTCAACATGGCTGTATATCCGAATGAGTATGTAACTCATGTGGGGATATATAGGCATCCTGAACTGCATGTAACGATCAGAGTGATTCCTAATTATTCGCTAAACAGACCTAAGATAAATGTTTTTCCAGAATTAACAACTCAGAGTTAGGTATTTACAAACCTGTACTCTAAAGCATAGCTAAATGACCTGATTAGGCTATGGTCAGTCGAGTTTTGATGATATCCACAGGAAACATTAGTTGATCGATATCAGCAAGTAGAACCCGAGCGGAGAATTGGATCCAGAGCTATGGCAACAACGTGTAACGAAAAGTGTCTGTAGTGAAATCGAGAAAAAGTGAATAATACCAATTCAAAATCCAGCGATGAGAATGCTGCGAGCTGTGTAAAAGGAAGACGCTGAATTTGACTTAACCGATGCGTAAGCCACGTACATGACAAAGTGAGGCTCTCACGATCAGATTGTTGACAGTGGAAAATATATGGCGAAAATGAAAGAAACAAAAATGCAGTATTGCATAAAATTGAATAAAGGCGTATTTTCAATTCGTAATATAACAAACGACTCATTCAGATTGACTAGTACAATCAAACTTATAGCTATAATCAATCGCACACAAACAAACGTTTTATAAAACGATTCATTCACAATATCTGAACTATACAATTGAAAAAAGATTGAAGAAAACAGTTCAGTTTATAATCAGACAAAAGTGAATATTCCGAAACGCGATAACCATGCTGCTGTGCCAGATTCATTATGGATCTGATCTCTCAAAAACATGAAAATCGCTTTTCGGGCACTCTCAAGAGTGCTGAACTTTCGAACAAAAATGTCATCAATACGAACAGTTTCCTTTCATAAATTTCATAGATAAATGCATCAGTAGCGTGACGGTTGGTTTTCTTTGTTGTTTTCAAGAGAATCGCTCAGCACATTCAATCTACAGCACAACGACGAATACTTCGATCAAAGACATTGATTAAAAGGTATTTGAAAGAGCATTTCTCAAAGAACCACAAAAATACGCTTTATACACATACTTTGCATAAAAGCAGTAGAGATGGGCAGTAGCGACCTATCGCTAAGTTTCGCCACGTAGCCAAAATAAGCTTTCAGCTTTTGGTGAGTATTATCAGCACGAATCAGAAACGTTCATTGTTTATCAGTTAACAAGTGTTCCACAGCAAAATCGCCTTTCCGAGACACAAGAAGCGTAGTGTGATGCGAATAACACAAATCGCAAAAACATTACAGATGAACTCTTGATGTGATAGCAACTGCGTCTAGTGTTATGCGTATCTGCTACTCACACGTACACAATCAACACTTTCAGCTTGATATCAGACAGACATTACTATTCACAGAATCACTTCGTTTGAATACAACCAAAAACATTCGCCATCAGAATTGATAAAGGGTGTGTAACATTACAGCTAGAGGTTTTGTTGCATCTATAATATGAGAGAAGCTTATTTTTCGAATAAGTTACAAGAAATTATTACTGACACTCTTTGAAATTGACAACCTCGCATTGCAAGTATGTCGAACAACATCGTAACGATCCACTGAATGCTTCTTCATTCGCAAACGATTGCACTTCATCGTGTTCAACTTAAGCTCTTATGTTAGATTTGATTACGTTTAAGCTGTAGATGTGCGAAACCTATGAACACTTTTAGCTGTAGCTAATCTTTGACTGATATTTGCTTACAATTAGTTTACGCTACAGTAGAGCATAAACTAATTCTTTTTTCGTCATATTAATTGAAGGCATCGTATCACCACCACCCCATCGATGAAGCAACCGCAAAGGTGTTTCACCGATCGTAGCGACAAATAGCACAAACATTATGGTCCCTTTGAATGTTGATGATTCCTTTGAATGATAACTCGAAATACGTGTGTCTTTCAAAATGCATTAAAAAAACGTGTCGCCAAAAGAGGTAACCCTAAACGAGAGATGAAAGAAGTGCAATGCAAAAACCAGTTTACGGCTTTATACAGCCCATGTTGAACGCAACGATGAGAATATCAACTGTACATATTTTAATGAATGATGCAACAAGTACGTGACAAAAAAAGTAATAAATGAAATACTGAAACAATCTCAATCAGTTGGTTCAGTCACGTGAATAACGCTTTCTTGGATCAACCAACTAAGTTCATGCATACGTCTTTCATGATCAGATGACATATTTCGTTGAATTGAATCAGTCAAATATATATACAAAATCAATATATTTCATAAAAAAATATCCGCTAGTACTAGTGTCCGTCGAGAAACGAGGTCCCCGTCGGGGTTCCGAACCCTCCCGCGCAATTTACTCCCCAAATTTTTCGGCGAAGACCCCCCTCCCCCTCTCATTCGAAAAACTGCTCCCTGACGAACACTACTGCTAACTGTTTCATGGACACGCGATGGAGTGATTTGTGACAGTTTTTAGACCTCAATGAAAGTAGATGATAACGATGAAAGGATACCTTGAGAATATCATCCATCTGATTGATTGAACAATACGCAAACAACTAATAGTGAAACATTTCAACTGAAAATATATCAGCTTTGATGTAAATATAGGAACGTTTCAACGTTTGCAATTTAAAATGCAGTGAGTGCAACACAAACAACCGGAAACATTATTTCAACTCAACATTCCAAGGACAATGACGTCGAACGATTATGCATCAGCGCCTCATTTTACATACGGAAACATTCACCAAGCGATTAAATTCTACCGTTATCAGCCATTACCAGTGAAATATCATTTTTCAGATATCGTCACAAAATCTACGAACTGAACCAATCGTCACAAGCAACATACTTTTTTCATGATCCCTGTTGTATAAAATGTAAGGTATGATTGTGGCCGTCTTTAAAGCCTTAAAGACGACACTTCAACATGCTGCGCGTAAAGCTTATTGTCTCTTTTAACATACTCGAAAGATAACCTTATATTGATACGGTATGAATTCAGGATAATAATACCAAATCATTTACTGAAAATCGAAACTTTTCAAATAATCATTTAAATAATCAACAACAACAACAATAGTAATCACTAACGACGCACTACCAAACGCATTATTCAACTCATTTTAGAATGTACACAAGAAAACACTGACAATGAAACATCAAAGAAGTTCAGTTCAACGTAAATAATTGTAAAATGACGAACAGAACGAAAACTTTGCAAATTTACGAGTTTTTGACGCACTATTTCCTCTACGATCAAGCACAAACGTGTGACATCGGCACTTTGAACGGTATTTCCGGAAAAATCGACAGATATTGCGGAAGAAGACACAAACGCAGAACACGTACATATTAGTTGACAACGTAAAGTCAAAGGTTAAATGAACGTATTCTGCATAATCAATGCATCTAACTTGATTCATTTCTTATCGATATCCTTTCGATAACCCAACTCAGCAGAGAAACTTTCGAGAGAATAAATGAAAGAACATTATCGATGGTTTCATATCGCTAAAAATAATCAATATGAAATTAACATAGGAAATGCGTGCGATATGGTGAATCGATGTGATTTTGTGTGAGAGTATGTACTGAAATTTGAATATCTATTCAAAGAGTTTCAGTGTGAGGAATGATGCACTGACAACAGACACAATAACGACGACATAATTTTGTGCAAATATTCAACAATACAATAGATACTCACCAAATATGAATACGAATACAATGACAGAAATGAAGTGAATGCAACGTAAATTTCAGTGCACAAAATCAATCATATGAATCTGTTAAATATTCACGAATTTAAAATAACGGAACAATGAATTAGTGCTAATCATTAACAAATAAAATGGTGAAGTAAACTGTCCCTTTCCGATCATCCGATTCTAAAGACTTTCAACACGATGGACAAAATACCAAACAAAAATATGACGTCTAGTGTTAGCAACTAAAAAACCAATGAAAAACAACAACCTGTTCATTGCTCACACAAAAACAATAATTTTCGTTGATGTATTCAAATTAGTTGAACGCTTTCGAATCGAAAATATTTCACAGGTACATTTCCTCATTCACCGCCTTTAATTAGTCAAAAGAAATCTTTCATCGCAAATGATTTCATTTCGAATCAATCCATTTGCAGCTAACAACGAATCATTTTAAACTTCAAACGAAGTCAAAAACAGAAAATATAACGGTTACTGATTTCATTTGATAGACAGCGACAATGAAATACCCATAGACAGCAACAGACAACACCGATCGCACCCATCGATACAACGATGCAATGCTTGTATATACACAAATAATAACGACGTCTCACGATTGAATTTAATGCATGATCAGAAATTACGAGTCACCAAAGGCTTTGCAAAATGCAAAGAAGCATTTTCGCAGAATCTGATTAATACGAACGATATTTTGGAGAAGTTTCATTGATTCTCAACATGAAATCATACTCAAAATGAACTGATAAAATCGATCGAATAATCTCTCCGATAATCCTTTGATCAATTCGTGGTAAAATCTGCTTCAGAAGTACTAGTAGTATTGTTTGATAACAATAGCTGATGGTTAGCGTACCTTAACAGGCGCATGTACAAAAGACTGACAGGTGTTTCATAAGGAAAGATAAGACATCATCGTATCATAAATCAACCTCTGTGACTAATTCAAATAGCCGTAACACTTCTTTGTTTGATGCGAACATCGTCTGAGCTGAACGTTGACGAAGTGTTCATCTCTTGCTTATCACCAACATTGTTGACTAATGATGATTCACATTCAGCCTCTTCAAACTCCTCTTCTTCGGTTATCGCAGTGTCACTCGTTGAAACGCTCTTCTTTCGTTGACACCAGTTACGCCAACCCAGCGACTCTGAATGTGCACATCCTCACTAATTCTAATACAAGTCTTATGACCTGTCCAACGACACAAAATCGTTTCCAAGCAAGGAAGTGCACGCCATCAGAAAGGAGAAAATTCAGACGTTGTTAAATCAAATCACAAAGAATTGTTCGCTCTTGTGAGCCCATTATACATGATAATATTCAAAACATGGCCAATGAAGTGCACGAGGATCTATCACTATTCAACATTCTTCTGATACAATCGAAACGTTAATAAAGATAAGTAGATTTGAAAAAGAGACCATTATCAAGAAGTTCAATGCTCGGTAAGAAATGACCACCGTCAAAACCTCCCAAAACATAAATCACATTCCCAGCCGTGACAACCGCATGAGTGTTCGCACGAGGCATATTCAATGAAGGACCGACTCGCCACTGCCCATTCGGATGATCAAGGATCTCAACCGATGACAACGACTGCGTACCATCATGTCCTCCGATCACATACAGCGAATCTGAAACATTTCAGTCACTTTTTATCTACCATTCATTATTTTTCATTCAAAACGCTGACGACTCTTCGTATTGCTCAAATTACTGTATCATTTAACTCTTCATCAACTAACTGAAAAAAAAAACCGCAGTATTCATTTAGCATGAATAAGGATATAATTTATACTGTGCGATAAAAACTGAATTCGAATTACCTCTAACAACTGCGATCGCACAACCTCTTCGAGGAGTTTTCAATTTTGCCAAATACTTCCACGTTTCGCTTTTCGGATCATAAGCTTCAACCGAATCTAGGCAAGTCCATCGATCCGATCCTCCACAAGCAACCACCATACCTCGCCATGCTGTACAACCAGCCTGCAAAATAGCAAAACAATTTTGTAAACATATCAAACGTGTTCAAAGTTCGTTTTCAACAAATACTGAACATCAAAAAACCGAAGGCACTCAAAATATTGAATCTGATCGCACAATGTTAACCGAATTTATTCAAACACTCTTTCACGAAGGATGAACAATTTCGCGATGGACAGACGCACAACAGTACCTGGAAACGAGCAGTTTGCATAGGCGCAATCGCCTCCCACTGATCATTCTCAGGATCATATCGTTCGCATTCCTTCAGAACCACTTGCTCAGAACTGCCACCGATGCAATAAACAAAATTGTCGAGACTTGTGCATGCTGAACTATTCATTAAAATTACCATCTTGTCAATTCCTTCGAATAACACATGAAAGCGCCTCATCATTAACAACCTGATCATAAAATTACCTAAACATTACCTAAAATGACCAATGCAAGATCATTCGACTATCCCCTAGAAGGCAAATTATTCACTAGTTTGCGGAATGCATTTGAAATGAAATTCATGATAAAAAGTGACCGTTATGACTACGACCCGTCTGCAACGACTTGACCGACGTCCATTTACCCGATTTCGGATCATAGCATTCAGCAGTTTTAAGATCAACATTACCATTACTACCTGAAACCCAGAATGCAAATAAAAGAGAAATACGAATAATTTTCACAAGCAAATTCTGCTACTGATAATATTTGAAACGACTGATTGGCACTGAAAAAATTCAACAACGGACCGCTAAGTACGAATAATAATATTGATGGTGCCTTCAGAATCTTACAAATGAACATAGTGCACGTAATACAACGAAAAAATAGGAACATAAAATGAAGTGACCTGCAATAGCGTAAACTTTTCCATAAGCAACAGCCGCATCGAAACGTCCCCGCTCACAACTCATATCAGAAATCTGACGCCATTCGCCTTTTATCACATCGTACTCTTCAGTTGATTTCAAACATTCTCCTCGATCATATCCACCTTAAAATGCTCGTTCACTAATTTTATTCATTCATGAACTGATTATACACAAACTGAATAGAACGTCATGATCGCAACCGTGAAGCCGTCCTTAGAATGGAGAATTGTTGTCATTAGCTATCTTCGTTTGCATCGAAAAATGCTTAATTGAACATTTATGAAAGCATTTTGCGTTTATCACTCACGACACCATCAAAATCGTCTACGAACAATATTCGAATCATTTCAAAGAAATAAGGATTTGTACATAAACAACACAACGAACCACAAACGATGATTTTTCCGTTCACAAACGCTGCTCCAATCGAACAGCGCGCATCGTTCATTTCTGGTAAAGGAGTGCGCTCATTGCCCGACGTCGTTATCAGTCTAAATGAACACAAATTTGAATTGTTCACGTCGTAGTTGGAATCGTTTTAATTGTTCATTCATCTACACAACAAAGAACAAAATAAGCGGCGATACACACCTGGCAAGGAGAGCAGCGCGTTCTTGATTTTGCTGTTGTAGTATTGTATCAACGGGCACTTTTGTGATCGGATTTGGAGTTGGTAATCGTTGGTTCGGTCGAACGATATCTTCATTTTCCGTTAGCTGGAGGCTGATCGTAACCAGACGATGATGAAGAACAGCCAAAGCTATCCAAAAATCACCTAAACCAATCAGTCACTTGAACTAAAATTATCTCTTTAAAGATAAATAATAGTATGTCTAAATTTAAGCTGAATAAGAAACTTTCATGTTACAGCGCGTTTGCAAGTAATCGATCACTTTCTCGAGAATGCATCAAAACAGAAAGATAATTCTCGTAAAAATTCATAGAACTGACCAGCAGTCTGATGAACAGCAATAAGTTTACTGAGAATCTCTTCATCAGAATCAGTGGATGTCGTTGCGACAGAATTGATACTCTCATTTGATGAGAATTTATTATTGTTTACCCGACTTGCGTTCAAGTGAACTGCCGTTGCACCAGTTACGTGATGTTGTATTGGAAGATTACCAACCGGGCTTGACCTGAATTGAATTCATTCACTCGTTTATCTATTTTTACATCAACGTACAATATTAATAAGACCATTAGCTGAATTACTGAAAATATTACAACACATAACTCATTTATAAACCACAAAACATTATATATTGATCAGAACAATTAAAGTCAATCACACCAAATGCTATTCATATCAGCCACAGAAGTTATGATATTGGCTTATGTAGTGAACAAATATAAAACTGCTAAAAGTTGAACATGACAGTGGAAGTATCTCGGTTGAATATCTACATACCCACTAGTCACTACGCGCGACTGAAGTCCACCAGTGCGTTTGTAGTCTTGAATAATATCACAGGAAGCAACGGAACTATGATCGTCCATGTCCGCGCAATCTTGCAGTGTTTGATCTTCTTCAACATACAGCAAATGCGTCTGTAAACAGCATTCGATTTGACGAGCGTGCGAAAGGTCAGACAAAGTTTCTGGACAATATGAAACCACTTGTGAAAAACAAAAGAAGAGAACATTGTCGAACTGAATAGAATAATGCATACTTTTTCAGCGAGTTGCTCAATGATCAGCTCAGCACGATCGCTGTTTGTTGGTAATGATTGGAAATATTGAACAGCTCGTTCGGCCAGATTCAGACCACAACGAGTTTGCTTCGTATCATCCAAATTCACTATGATTCGAACCTGAACGTTTTCCTCACTGTTCTTCGACGTATATGCAATATTTATTGCTTAGATACTTCAGATGATACTCTGCGTGCCTAAGCCGAAAGAGAGATCCTATGCCATTTTCTGGTGAAATGATCAACATTTTTTGCATTGGAATGTCTGGCGCCACAACGTTCCACTTCGGTACTCCCATGATACGGACATCCAACAGTGAGTACCATACTAACAATAAGCAATATTTAACACACTTTCATCAGATTCTGTCACAACGCTTCATTGAAGGCTTTATTCAGCTAACGGAATTCATCCCAAAATTCACAATTTGTTCAGTGTTTCTATTACTTTGCATCTTTAAATCATTTATCTTGGGATGTAACCAGATACGTTCAATTCATTACCGAACAATGCAACAATTTTCGAAGAATTTCGTGAATAAATGATGTGATGATTCACAGAAAACAATTAAAAATAAAGAGAAAACATAAAAATTTTTCGTCTTAAAAACAATAAACAGAGTGAAATTAACACTAAATGATGTTTTGAAGATCATGAAAGCGTCATTTGAAAGGAGCATATGCAATACCTTAATGCAGGTAAGTTGAGTGAACTCAACGCAGTGATCGACAATCTGAGCAAAGTTATCCGCGATGAACTTATCCACTTTATTTACCAGCTGTTCATCGTTACTGAAGTTTGCCTGCTTACGTACACCTAAAAATTTTCAAAATATGCACATCGCTGGAGACATCATTCAACAGATGTGTATAACTGACAAGGTTCTCCCTCAATCCATTACATGAAAGTCATGCTCGATAGTGGATGATGATCTGAAGAGAGGTTTTTATGAATATCTGCATCAATGTTTTATCTATCTATCTATCAACAATTGGCTCTTATGACAAGTTATCAAGTGCTGCTTTTGATTTCAATCGTTCAAACGTCATGTGCTGAAAGACTGACATTACTGTTGCTCAGTTTGAAATCAAGAAAACGTTTAGATTCATTGAGTGCATTCATTTTCTGCAAAACTGATAAGCGATAAATGATTGATAATGAGCTGAGGATCAAAAATTAAGAATATTTCATTGACATGAGTAGCTAAGTAAACAAAAAACTTGAGACAGTTGCTTATGACAAGATCAGTTTAGCAAACATTGAACTGCTACTGGTGAACAATAAAAACAACAAAACAATACATTTTACAAATTGTTGCAAGCTTTTCTTTTTTTTTGCGGCACAGAATCTAAACGGCGAGTAAATAACGAAAACCCGTTGATCGAAGGTAGAATATGAAAGGAGCAAAACGAATGAAACGATTCATAAAAATATTGGTGTGAATCTAATACTGAACGATGTGTTGATGAGAAATGGACTGAAACTAACCAATACAATTGGCAACACTCAGATGATGCGCCAGATATGATGCACAAGCGCTCACTATTGGACCCATTTGCAACGAGAACGCCGTCTTGTAGAGCTCACCAACCTTTTTACTGCTTATTTCCAAACTGAAACGCATCAGCAAATCACTACTTTCATTTATTAAAATCTTTGTTGGATGACTTCTTACGTAACCGTATTGTGAACAAATGAACACGACGTGAATGTATGTATGGCAGAGAGTGAAGAAATGGATGGAACGAACTGTGAAGTGTATGCAAAGTTGACGAGTGCATTGAAGCAATCGTAATCCGCTTGACTGAACTCGAAGTATGAAAGTTGTGGTTGTGTTGGTGAGGACAGCAGCGTGGCTTGAGCGAATGCACTCGGAATCGACGATTTCGACGAGCACGCCGATTTATTCATGTCATTCATTGGCGGGGGACTGTTGGCTGAAAGTTCAAATGACCTTTCACAGTTTATGCCAAAAATTCGAAAATTTCAATGAACATTTTTAAAAATTTCATTAATGTTTACTTTCAGATGATATCGACGATTTTACTGTGACAGTTTAATAGTACTGAAGCGTTTGCATGCATTCAATGGAATGCCGAACAAACAACAATCGGACTGACTCACTTGTAGAAATCGTAACCGCATCTCGGTCATCACGTACAAACATATCGAACAGAGATGGTGAAACAGCGGCAAGCACAACCTGAATTCTACCTTACCATTAATGAATAGTCCACTTAGACTATCAACACAACAATTAATCATATAACCTAGCCACAACTTTCACTTGCAATATTATTATACGTTCATTATATGTGTGAAAATTTTACACTTCAAAAACAGTTACATTATT